TACCATTCTTCTTCCTCCGCCGCCACCATTCGTCATTCTTCTTTTTTTTTTCGCCGCCACCCATCCCTTCGCCGAAGATGAGGTGAATCTCTTTTCCGTAAGTTTCTCATCGTATTTTCTCTAATTAATTATTTTCTCTATAGTTTCTCTATATTTATTCAAAATAGGATTGATACTCGTACATGTATATCATAGGACGTTCTTAATTAAAATAATAAATAAAAAATAAAAGATACTGGTGATGCTACTCATAATAAAAAATTTTATTATAAAAGATTTTACATCAGGCCGTTTACCCCAATCGATGTAAAAGTCCTCAATAAATAAATAAATAAAATAGATTAAGTCATTTTAATTAAAAAAATTTTAAGTGATTTATATTTAACTGATAATAATTGCATGATATTTTTATTTTGTAATATAAAAGGATTAAAACAAAAATTTCAATTCTTTAGTATATATCATCTAGATTATATTTTTTTTTAAATTCATATAAAATGTGATCACATGCATTAACTATGAAATTGTATAAAAAATACAGATATTATGAGATGCTTCTTCATATTAATAAAAAATATAGATTAAGTCATTTTACATCGGGTTGTTTATCCCAACCGATGTAAAAAGTTTTTCAATAAAAAAATAAATGGATTAAACGTTTTACATCGGGTCATTTTGCCCAACGGATGTAAAAAGTTTTTCAATAAAAAAATAAATGGATTAAACGTTTTATATCGGGTCATTTTGCCCAACTGATGTAATAAGTTTCTCAATAAAAAATTAAATAAGATTTATTAAACCTTTTACATCAGGCCAATTAGCCCAACTGATGTAATAAGATTCTAAATAAAAATTTAAATAAAATTGATTAAACCTTTTACATCAGGCCTATTTGCCAACCGATAAAAAATGTTTCTTAAAATCCCAAAACCCTATCTGAAAACTTAAGATTCTCCAACTCTCAAAAATCTCTTATCGTTCTTCTTTTTCGCTTCCCCGTCTCTGTCTCCATTTTTCTTCTTTTACGCTTCCACCATCATTGTTTTTCTTCTTCCTCTGCCGCCACCGTCTACCATTCTTCTTCCTCCGCCGCCACCGTCCGTCATTCTTCTTCTTTTTTTCCCGCCGCCACCAATCCTTTTGCGGAAGATGAGGTAAATCCCTTTTACGTAAGTTTCTCATCATATTTTCTCTAATTAATTATTTTCTCTCATCATATTTACATAATGTTGATGAATTAGTTAGCCATATACTGACACAAGAATACAAAAACCAAATATGTTCATCGTGAATACAAAAACCAAATATGTTTATCATGTACTGCTACTTATTTTTAATCCCCAATTTATAAAATACAAAAAATAAATATGTTTATTCAAAATAGGATTGATACTCGTACTCGTACATGTATATCATAGGTTTGATACTGAGACTCACATAAAGACAAACCTATAATATACATACAAACTAGGATTGACACTGGGACTCACATAGAGACAAACGAACATTTCAACTAGATCTGGGAGGAATAACATTTCATGCAGTAAAATTATTTTGGATCTTTCACATGTACATTAGTTATGTATATACATACAACTAGATTGACAATTTGTATTCTCTATTTTATTTCTCAATTATCAGGCCCCAATTGGAGCTCTGATACCAATTTGTTAGAACAGAACTGTAACAATTAATTTGGAATGAAAACTTAAATAGCCTAAGTACAACTGAAAAAATCTTAACATTTAGGAATCCACTACTACTCAGTTCTCCTACAATATAGACCTGACTTATTCAACTAAAGACTTGGTAAACTAAATTATTCAACTACAGACCTTAAAAAAATGAAAAGTTTATAGTCTTCTATTTTATAGACTCAGACTTACCTGTATGTTATTTTTTCACAATTATTAGAACTTCACTTTATTATTTTGATAGTGAAATTCAGACTTGTAATGAAATATTTATTATTAGAACTTCACTTTATTATTTTGGTAATGAAATTCAGACTATTTATCAAAATAGGTTCAGACTTCACTTTATTATTTTGTCATTTCTTCACAATTACTAAAAGTCTTTATAACTTCATTATAACTTCACTCTTATTTTGTCTTTAACTAGTGTTATATAATTGGAGTAATATTATGTAATTTTCCATCCTATACTAACAAATTTTAATTTTTAGATATATTTAAGAATTTACGAATTTAATTTATACATAGACTAGATACATCAACTTAAAATGATTTGTTTCCAATGCAGAATTTATAATATATATGAAATTCTTTAATTTATTTTCTTTTATATATATATATATATATATATATATATATATATATATATATATATATATATATATATATATATATATATATATATATATATATATATAAGACTATAAACTTCCAATAATAAATGAATATGATGCATGTTTATTTATTTAATTGAAGAAAAGTTGTTTGATGTAACAGGGTAGTAATAATAAAATGGAATTCTGGAATCTTTTTGTTGTTGCATTAATGCCTATTTTTAAGGTTCTGTTGATTACTGTTCTTGGTATTTTCCTTGCACTTGATCGTTTTCATATACTCAGTAACGAAACTTCAAGAAAAAACTTGAATACTGTAAGTTCATTGTTTTTTTATTTATAAAATATTTTATATTTCAAAAGCTCTATTAATATATGAAAAAAATTTCTTATATATATATATATATATATATATATATATATATATATATATATATATATATATATATATATATATATATATATATATATATATATATATATATATATATATATATATATATATATATATATATATAACACTTGGTAAAGTCAGATTGATTTGAAATAATTTTTTTAAATCATAAATAGTAGAACCAAACTCAGTAAGCTCTAATCCTTTTGGTAAATAACTAGAATTGTTAACTAATCGGTGTATTCAAAATAAAATTAGAGATGTATTTTCCTCCTTCAATGGCTTGACGTGTCTATTCTGCAAGTTTGGTCCACGTAAGTACATTTTCTTTTTTTTATTACTGTTAATACATATTAATATGTTATATCTCTCATCACTTTGACTCTAATATTTACTTTAAAATTATTCAGGTATATTCATCGTGTATGTATTGATAATTCCACATCGGAAGTATATGGATTTATGGACCCTGCTAGGTGTGTGTATGTTGATAATATGCAAAAAAATGAAGCAGAGGTTAAAAAATACATACAAGATAAGTTACGTGACGAAAACAGAGTGTGTCACTTACTACCATTTATTCATGGGTAAGTTTGTATGAAATTGTGTTTTTTATTTTTTTATTTTTGATAACATAGATATTTGATGTGTTTTTTGTGTTTCCACGCACACGTACAGAGACCATTGGAAATTAATAGTCATTTGTCCAAGAGACAATATTGTGGTCGTCTTTTGTTCACTTCATCGGGAACTTAATCCAACCATGAAGAAAATTGTTACAAAGTAAGTTTATATTTTATGTGAATTTTGTTATAGTATATGTTATATCTCATATACATAAAATTTTACAAAAGTAATTTCATATTTTATGTTGCTCTATATGAATTTTTTTCTGAATTAGTGCTTTCGGGGTTTATCAAATGGCAAATGGAAATAGAAAAAAGGCTACATGGCTCCAACCCAAAGTAAGCGTCATGTAAATTATAATTTTATATTTAATTTTATCATAAGTATTCACTAACTGTGTCATTTATTTTAGACAAGGCGACAACATAACTCTATTGACTGTGGATACTATGTTATGAAAAATATGTTGGATATTGTCTCTGCCAACATAACCGAGTCTTGGTTGCAGGTAAATAAAAATAACTTTACTTTGTTATTTACTTTGCATTTGCAACTTAAGGTGAATTTTCAAAGAATGACTTTATATTGCTATTTACATATTGTAGGTATTTGATGATCCAACAGAATTAACACAAGATGATTTGTATGATTTGCGACTCCGTTGGGCAAAATGTTTCTTTGAGTTATATAAAAATTAAACTTTATATGGTGAGTTATATAGAATTTTCTATGTATACCTAATTTGAGTTTCTTGACTTTGGTATTGTCTGCTGATGTTTATTGTTATTATTATTTATTGTCAGCAAATGTGATTTTGGTGTTCTCTACCGAAGCTAGCTACAACGGATTTCTTGTGGATTGCATGTTGGTATTCAAGTGTGGTAAAGGACTTATAAATGGTTGAATATTGAAGAAAGAATATGTGTACTAGATTAGTACTTTTGTTCCTCAATTAGTACTTTTGTAAATCAATTTCTTGTGGATTGAACAGTTGTATGTATACTAGATTAGTACTTTTGTAAATCAATTTGTTCATGTTGAAGAATATGTGTATCCTAGCTATTTGGTGCAATGAAACTAAAAGGTTAGTTGAAAAAATATAAAAAATTGCATACCAAATAGGGACTAAAATTTGGTATGTGTGATGTTGGAAAAATATGAAAAATTAAGTACCAAAAAAATTACAGGGATTCCATATCGATTCGGATAAAAATTAGTCTAAATATTTAAGAAAAACAACCTACATTTAACATCGGGTGGGTGTGCTTAAAAACCGATGTAAAAACATAAATTTTGAAGACACGTAGCACACCTTTTACATCGGGTCAAAAAGGAAACCGATGTAAAAAAACATACCTATGACACCTTTTACATCGGGTCAAGAAGGCAACCGATGTAAAAAAACACACCTATGACACCTTTTACATCAGTTCTACTGACCAACCGATGTAAAAAATCACCTATGACACATTTTACATCGGTTCCGAATAACAACCGATGTAAAAAGTGCTTTTTTTTATAAAAAAAAATTAATAATAATATATTTCACATCAGTCTTAACTGTCAACTGATGTAGTAGATGTATTTTTTACATCGGTCTATGACCCGATGTAAAATGTCTTTGATTTACTACATCGCTTGGCTTTACATCGCACCCAGACCCGATGTAAAATGTGTTTTTGGCCCGATGTAAAAAGTCATTTCTGCACTAGTGCGATTGATCTGAGCCGTTTAAACAAAATCGACTATGACGACTTGACGAGAGAAGAGTGCAGGTCTATGATAGCAAAGGCTTCACAGGATTGGGGTTTCTTCCAAGTTGTAAATCATGGAATTTCAAGTGAGATTTTAAGGTTGTTAAGGTTTGAGCAAGAGAAAGTGTTTAAACAACCTTTTGAAGAGAAGAGAAAAGAAGATAAGTTTTTGAATTTTTCAGCTGGTAGTTACCGTTGGGGAACACCAACTGCTACATGCATTAAACAGTTATCTTGGTCTGAAGCATTTCATATTCCTTTGACTGATATATTAGGAAGATCTACACGATCAAACACTCATCTTAGGTATCTTCTCTTCTATATAATCATCAATATCACTAATTTATATATATAACATATTTTATGAAAATGTCACCACAGTTTATAAATGTATATCTTTTTGCAGTTCAATAATTGAACAATTTGCCACCACAGTTTCAAACCTTGCACAAACATTAGCTGATATACTAGCTGAAAAACTAGGCCTCCATTCAACTTTCTTCAAAGAAAATTGCTTGCCCAAGACATGTTATCTTAGATTGAACAAATATCCTCCATGTTCTCTTGATTTTAGGATTCATGGCCTAATACCACATACAGATAGTGATTTCCTCACCATATTATATCAAGATCAAGTTGGAGGTTTACAATTGGTCAAAGATCGAAAATGGATTGCAGTTAAACCAAACCCTAATGCTCTTATAATCAACATTGGAGACTTATTTCAGGTACTTAACAATAACTATTTATATTTTGATATTATATTTTTTGCAATATTAATATTATCATAACTAATCATAACTAATTATAGAAATCAGTTACAACAAACTAATTGGATAGGCTAAGAAGAGTTAACTTGTTTCTCAAGTAAATTCCTTATGCTCCATTTATTTACATTTAATATTTATGTTTGTTAATTATGTAGGCTTGGAGCAATGGAGTCTATAAGAGTGTTGAACATCGAGTTGTGACAAATCCAAGAGTTGAAAGATTCTCCATAGCATATTTTTTGTGTCCTTCAAATGAGACCGTGATTGAGAGTTGCAATGAGCCTTCTGTTTACAAGAAATTTAGCTTTGAAGAATATAGACAACAAGTTCGTGATGATGTTCAAAAACTAGGTTCTAAAATAGGTCTACCTAGGTTTCTAAAAAATCATGAAACTATGTAGTGCATCAAATATAATTATAATAGAATGAATGCATGTTATATAGTACTCCAACAAATTTTTTGTCATGTTACATGTGAGAACTTGAAGAGATCATCATACACATTTTTTCTACATCTGATAGTAACTCGATGCGAGTTCTAGAAACTTACATTTTGTAACTTCAAAATATCGAGTTAAAAAAAATGTATTTCTAATTTGTTAGATTATAAATGATGAAATTGTACACTAATAAGTGTGATTTCACTCTCCCATTTCATTGACTAGTTCCTATATCACCCACAAATTCATCTGAATTTTGCTTATTGCTAATAAGAGTGAAATATATCAGCAACATTGTTCCCATGCTTGACCTGTTGAAGAATCTAACAGTTAATACAAAATTTCAAAGTAGAAAAGGTAAAAGTTAAGTGTATATTAGGTGAATATATATATCTTACAAGGTGGCAAAGAAAATGAGAACCCTTTTAGGATCAAGTGACCATGAAGTAGATCTTACGAAACTATTTCTGCGAGTTAAGGATTTTGTTTCTCCCGTGGTTGCGCCGCTTTGTTGATGAATGTGTGAGTTGATTGAATGATCCGTCAATGACACTACCATTGCTCCTAACTTTTCCGGTGTACCACACGCTACCATAGTAGATATAATTAGAATTTAATTGATATATAATAACAGTGTAAAGATTTTTTACACTCTCAGATAATCACATCAGATAATTGTGATACATTGACAGTGTAAAGATTTTTTACACTCTCAGATAATCACATCAAATGATTGTGATACATTGACGGTGTAATAACAATTAATCTTATTATTTGTTTGTTATTTAAGTTATGATATATTCTTTTGTTATTAGTTGATGTTAACCTATATAAATACATGTAAGGAAGCAATTTAAAATATAATTTTTGAAAGGGAAATGGTACCTAATGGTGAGCACATAGCAGATATGAGATCCTTATTTTCATGAATTTGAAGTGCTGTAAGGCTATTCATTTTCCTATCACCCACACGTTGGGATCCTTTTCTGGATAAACTCCTCTGCATCTTTTTAGGGTTAGAATAATAACATGGTAAAATTCTTATTTAATTAATAACAAACTCAAAAGGTTAGATATAATTAATATCCAACAAAGTTCAAATATTGCTATAGTGATTAGTGTAGTTTTGGATGTATGTCTCATTGCATTGTTGAAGTGATTTCAATTGATAATTATGAGAAAATTTTCTTATTAAAAAAAATTGTGATAAAATTGTGAAATATTTAAGAAAACCAAAATGTTTTTCCAAGTAAAAAGAGAGAAAATCTCACCGTAAATCTCGAATTTGTATTGACACTATCTTTATTGATGCCAGGAGAAAATGGATCCATATCAATCACATAGCTTTCTATTTTCTCATTTGTGTATTGAAATGAATTCATGTGGTTCAAACTTTTCTGCTCCGCTTCAAAAGCATCTCCACAGCCATAATAAGAAGAAGATGGCAAATCCTTAAAAAAAACAAAAAAACAAATTCAAGGATTCATAATAAATAACACATTCTTATTTTATAACAAAAAAATTGAACATTAATCATAAAACATAATCTTACCAACTTGGGATTTTCCTCCATATTTTAATAACTTTGTTAGAGATGAAAAAACATAGGATTATGTTGACATGATTGGTTTGAAACTAAGCAACCAAATACAAGAAGGAGAAAACCAATGACATGATTGATCTTTTTAACTTTGCCACATTATTGTATGTTGAATTCAACAAAAGGGTTGAAAATATTGTTGTGAAAAATTAAAATTTGGGTTGTTTCTTTGTATGAAAATTTGCAATATGGAAGAATCAACCACTATGAACAAATTGGCATGCAAATGCAGCAACTATGTTTTTTTTTTTTGAAAAACCAATTCACTTCTTTTTTTTAGAATGATTGGTTTTTCTTTGAAGGGAGAAGAAAAGTTGGATGCAAAGAGGAACTGATGGTGGAAATCATTGTATCTTTTATATCACTTATCAACTCCTATATTTTACCCGTGCATCAAAAAATTACATATGTAAATTCACATTCTTACATATACAACTTTTTTATTATATGATAAATGAAATACAAAGTCAAAATCAATGCGACCTCTCAACTATAATAGATAAATATATTTAATTATTACGATTTTTTTTTTAAAATCCACATCTTCTGCATAGTGTTTGTACATACATTTTACTTAGTCTTTCTCTAATTTATGTGTTTTTTTTTAAGAAACTTAGGGTTGAAGTTACTATATTGAAAGAGGGAGTTTTCATGTGAAGCTTGAAATACTTGTGGAATGAAGTATTGAAAGTGTAAATTAGAAATTTTTTTATTCCATCCAATAAAAAACTAAGGTATAAATCTAGGACGGGACACATTTTAATTCTTTTTAAAATACTATATATTTTCTTAGTTGATACACATATTGAGAGGAAAACTAACTAAAGACACACTTTAAATTTTACTAATTTTTATTTTGTTTATAATGATGTCATTCTTTTTTTTTTGTTTATATATTAAATTATCTATTTCTTCAGTTAAACTATCAATTTAGAGGAAAGATTATTCATTTTTGTTTATAAAAGCATTCGTTCATTATGTTTTGTCCTAACCTGGCTCATTTTAGTGCCGCTCCAAACTCGTAAACATCATTTTTTTTATAAGACATGAAATCTTTTAAGGTTTAGTTAGGAAATCCTTCAAGATTGTGTGATGATGATCATGTTGTTGTTGTTACATCTATTCATTGAAAAAATTAATTTTTCAACCTTGAAGAAAACATTTTTTATATTTGAGAATAATTTCCCAATTTTGTCATCCAAGACAAAATTTCAATGATTTAATTTTTTTCCTTGACTGACAATATTGAGAAACCTTTTTTTTTCCTTTTGTAAACCTTATTATATTTTATTTTATTTTTTATTTAGAAAAGAAATAACCTATTATCTTGGTGTTCATATTTTAGGAGAAAGTGACACAATTTTATTTATAAACGAATTTTTGTCGTCCATTTATAAAGTATTAACGCTCAAGACGTTGCCAACACATTAATCTATAAGAAACATTAGTGATTTGCGTGAAACCCTCACGCTAGCCAATCAGAATGAGAATGCCACAACTATATATCTTGGATGCTACGTAGTGAAAGATAAATATTGATAATGAAAATATTTGAATTGAAAACAATGAAACTTAAAAAACATGGAAACAATATTTGAGAAGGATTACAAAAGTAGAAAAAAGTTTTGGTTTAAGGTTGATGTTCATTACTGTTCCTTTGTGGAACAAGAATATGTGTTGATCGATGGTGAATGACTCTGAACTGGCGGTACTAATCCTCGATGCGGTGGTGCTGGGTTGACATGTAATGTTGGTATCCCAACGCGCAAATCATTTCAGATTCCAAGAATCAACAAAGTGAAAATTGGAGATCATAAGAATTTACCTTGATTTTTTTTGTCATGAATTTATATGTTGGATTATTTTGGTTGGGTTGGCATAAAATTTTGCATTTGGCCGACCCAGAATAAATTTCCCTAAGTCTTTTCCAGGTGGAAGTCATCTGGAGAAGCCATTGAAGTAGCGGTCGACCTCTAGCAACGGGTCTGGCCTTGGAGAGAGGTGGGGTCATTTGGAGTGGTTACTAAATTAGTGGGGAACAAGCGAATTAAATGTTTTCCCATCATTGATATGTTTCGTCGATTTTTCTTGACGCATGATTTGAGATGATTATCTTAGGGTGTGGCGTTTCCTTGTAGTGCACTTAAGTGTACTGGAGTTTGTTTACTTTCTAAAGGAAATCCATCTCCGATTTCTAAAAATCAAAGCATTGAAAATTTCTAGAGGTGCATTTCCGGAATTTTCTGCAACTCACATCAACGTCAATGGCAAAAATGTTGTCCCTAAAACAGAAAAATAGTCCATTGATCCATTAAACTACCTACCAAAAACGTTGTTCAATTTACATAACATGAATAAACTACTTATTTTATTACCTAATCATCAATTTCTATAAATTTATACAAAAACTCAAAAAAGTTTAGAAAAAAGAAAAAAACTTAAGTAAAAAAGAATGAGAGGAGAATAATTCCTTAATGTATATTTTAATGTACAAGGAATTTCTCTCTTAAATAGAGAGTTAGAATCCTAAATTAATTGAAGAGATCCTAACATAATGACAGGTTATTGACAATAGTTGACTACCTAATAATAAAATAACTAAAAAAAGAAACAATATAAATGCTATAATACTCTAATTAATATTTTGATTCTGCAACACTCCCCCTCAAGCTGGCTTGAAAATGTCTTCCATGGACAGCTTGCAAGTTATGTAGTCAAAAGGCTTCTTGGGTAGTCCTTTGGTCAAGATATCTGTCAATTGTTCTGTAGTAGGAATATAGGTCATATATATTTGCCCATTTTCACTTTTTTTCTTGATGAAATATTTGTCAACTTCAACATTTTTGGTCCTGTCGTGTAGAACTGGGTTGTATGCAATAGATATTGTAGACTTGTTGTCACAATAAAGTTTTATTGGTGGAGAATTATAAAAAAAACAGTTCTTGCAGTAGTTTTTCCACCCACAACCCATCACAAATTATATGAGTCACTGCTCTAAATTCAGCTTCAGCACTACTTCTTGCTACAACGCTTTGTTTCTTGCTCCTCCAACTCTCCAAATTTCCCCCAACAAAGGTACATTAACTTGATGTTGATCTTTGATCAGTTATACTTCCAGCCTAATTTGCATCGGTGTAGGCTTCTATTTGGATATGTCCACAATTTTTAGAAATAAGTCCTTCCCCGAGAGATCATTTCAAGTATCTTATGATCCTGAAAACAACCTTTTAATGTTTAGGTCCTTGTGCATGCATGAATCGGCTCACCAAACTTACAGCAAAGGCTATATCTGGACCCGTATGAGATAAGTATACTAGTCTTCCTACCAATCTTTGATACCTTTCTTTATCTATCATATTTCTAAATTTAGCATGCTGCAATTTTATGTTGGGTTCCATGGGCGTCCTAACAGACTTACATCAAAGTAATCCAGTTTCTTTTAAATGATCCAGAACATACTTCCGTTGATTCATAAAAATACACTCATTTGATCTTGCAAATTTAATTCCAAGTAAGTATTATAGAGGGTCAAGTTCTTTGATTTCAAAGACCTTAGAAAGTTTCTCCCTTAAGCTTTTTAGCTCCAAGCTATCACCTATTGAGGTGGAGCATAATGATTCAGAATTGCATAACCAAGATGAAATCAAAGAAGAATATCAAGTTGCTGATGAAGATGAGGAGACTGAGAATGACTACCTTCTAGCAAGAGACATGTCGAGAAGAGTTATCAAGCCACTTCAGAGACTTGGTTATACAGATCTCATACCTTTTTAGTGAAGAACCTAGAGACTATAAAGAAGTTATAAAAATTCGAAATAAGACTGAATGGTTGAAAGTCATGGATGATAAAAAAAATGGTTTGTTACCTTTTTAGTGTAAATTTTGTTCCAAGGTGGAGACTTATGGTATTTTAGATCGAACTCTAGTGTCGACAAAGGTAGTTTCATAGTTCGACAGAAGTTGTGCATGCTGGAGTCGAAGTCTGTTCAAGCATGCTGGCGAAATATGTTAGCTTTATGTTTAAGTTAGCATGTCAAATTGGGTCTTGATTGTAAGCCCAATTGTTAAGATAGCTTATAGCCCAAGCTAGATTAGTAGTTTATAAATAGACTAGTTCTCTTATCTTAATTGTTGGTATTCACTTGTAATCTTTGAACCCTTATTGAGTAAGTGAATAGAAAAATAGTTTAAACCAATTATTATTATTCTTCGTCATTCTTCTCTATTTTTTGTAAAACCTGAAACTCAATCTTTTTCTAGTATTTTAATTTGTTCATGAAGACATAAATTCACAACAACTATTAACTTGAATTTGGAAGGTGTAACAGATAGTTGACTATACATTCAAGTTATTTAGATCGTTATTATTGAAAAGAGCATGCAAGAAAGTTATGCAGTAAAGAAAGTTACAAAATGAAGAAGTAACTAAACCATATGTGAGGGCATCTATCATCGGTCGCGGTTGAGGTGATATCGTTCCTCTTTATCAAATTTTCTTGATCGCTTCATATGTGTAAGTTGGTGTATCAAGTTATGTGTTAATATTGATGTTTATCGCATGATTAATCATGTTTTATTTGAATGTTTGAAAGATGTGTAGCCTATCTACTTATCTCTTTTTGATGCATATATGACTCAAAATGATGATTTGTGTTGATTCTTACTAATAGTGTCGACCTAAACAGGACACCGGACGACTCATAAAATGATAATTTTTCTTGATTTAGAAGCGGGTCTGCTCAGGTCAACCCTTAGGTCGACTCAAGTTTTGAACAATTCTCATTGTCTATATTTTGTCAGTATGCGTCGATGCAAACACTGTATAGATCGACGCATCGCTCGATTTTTCTGAAAAATCCTTGTTTTTGATGAAACATTCAAAATGCTTTGACCCATTTAATGCTTTGATTCTTTCTATGTATTCAAACATCATCACTAGCATTAGAATTGGTACTTTGCATCTACACAAAGCTACTCTTTATATCTCATCTTCCCAAAATCCATATAAAATCCTAATTTCATCATATATTCAAGGAGTCTAATGAGTTTCTCTTCAACACCAAAACTCTGTTTACTATTCTTCCTCAAGTATTGCTCACATGGCTACAGGAAGAGTCACAGGCAAGAGAACAACCAGAGCTCCATCAGCTCAAGCTGGCACTTTAAGGGTTATTCTACCAGTAACTGCTCTCTCTTTATTATCTTCTGAATATACTGAACTTTATGAGAAAAATCTGAGCAAGCAGTCAATTGTCAAACAATTTGTTTATTATCGAAAAGCTGCTGAAAAAAATGCATATCCAAGAAGTTCTTGAACTTCTGGATGCTTATAATTTCAACCAGTTTTTGGAATGTGATAATAAATATAATGAGGATTTGGTCAGAAATTTCTACACTGGTCTTCAAGGAAAGTTCGAAGGGTTTGAGTTCAGTACTAAGATTGGAAATAATAAAGTCTATGTAAATGACTCTATTTGGAAAGATCTCTTCAATATGTCTCCCATAATTGTTGATCCACTAATTAAGGTTACGGATACTAGAACTGTGGACGGGTATGAGTTCAAGGAAGCCTTGAACTCCATGCTAAAGAAACCATATGCTGACGAAATTGTCGCTAGCGATCTTTTTCCAAATTCGGTCACAACTGGTAGGTTGAAACCGGTTGACAGAATTTTGCAATGGATTGTCTCTCACATTCTTTGACCTAAGAGACGAGGCCTTGAGGATTCTTTGTGTATTATTGTGCATGTCATTCCATATATTCTTCATTGCATTCAAATGTTCATTTTCTATTATGTTTGTTTGAATTACTAAGACATGAAGCTATGTTAAAATTTAATATTTGTAATGGCACTTACTTCTTTTGGTCATTTGTTGTGTTCTCTATTTATCCTTTTATATGTTTTCATTAACTTCATTATATGGGAATGTTTGTTAATGTTATCCTGTTGTAAATCCGGCGAATATGCTTATCTCAATATACTATGTCTTTCGTTGACCTATTTCTTATTTCTTTTTGATATTGTCAAAGGGGGAGAAGATATCAAGTAAAAACAACAAATCACTTTACAAGACTGATCAAACATTCAGATTGTTTCCAGATAAATGCATAAAGTAAGGGGGAGGATGATACTACACAATGTGCTCAATTGTTTTGCTATTGTTTTTCTATCATAAAAAAGGGGGAGTAGATGAGGGCAAAGTGTCTCAATACTTGTTTTAATGATGTCAAAATATATATAGTTAGAAACGTGTACTTTGGACGGTATCTATATCTGTTCTATGTGAGTTTGATCATGTTGGTTGAGTTAGATATGCATTAGAAGCACTTAGAAATAGCTAAACATATCAAAATCAACATTTTTGCAAGTTCTGAGTCTTTGAGTCGTCTCAAAGTTTGCTTAGGTCGACTCATGCAGAAGTGAATTCTTGTGATTTGCTCTCAAGATAGCTCGCGTCGACCCTTCGGTCGACTCATACTGTATGCGTTTGTATTTGTCAAAACTGGGTTGCTTTGCGTCGACGCATGGACCTGTTCTGGTCGACGCAAAGAGCGTTTTTCTGCATAATTCTGAATTCGGGAAAGCTCAGGTCGACCCCCCTATTTTTAGGACGACCGTTATTTCATTTCACATTATTTTTCTATTATGTTTATCATTCAAAGTGTCTGTTATGTTGGTTATTTGGTCATAGCTTTGCATATATATTTAGTTAGCTCATTCTTCACAAAATAACAAGAAAAGTGAAAATATGCACTGATTTGGTTCTCATCATCGTCATCATCTTTCTTGCATTTTCTCAACAAATACACATAATCATTTTTGTTGTGCATTCTGCATCATTGAGGTGATAACGTCCAAACATAGGATCAGTGTATCAGATTTGGGATGAGAAATCAGTGGGTTTTTCTTGAATAAAACCTTTAGGGTTTTGTCCTCCAAGAATCTTGGATTTTGGCGGTTTTGCACAAATTGTTCCTTCACAGATTCAGCCGAGCGAAGGTAATTGAAGAACGAGAGGTTCTGTCAATTTAGTAGCGTTATCCTGAGGATTGTGGAAGGAAGGTTTGAGTTCGAATTGTAGGTGTTTGAAATCAGCCAGGCAAGATTTGAAGACCAGAGGGTTGTTCAAAGGTGGTGTCGTAATCGGAGAGTTACTCATCACATTCGAAAAACTTGATTCATCTTGAATCAAGGGAAGATAAGGCATAGGTTCAGCATCAACGGTTGAGATTGAGTGTTTGATTTCTATTGCTTCTCTTGTAAAAATAATTTGCAACATGTTATATATACATGTTTTAATTCTATTTTTAGAATTGAGGGCAGGTGTACCTTGAGCGAGGACGACGGGAGAACTGGCTCAACAAATTGGTGTTCTCTCTTTTTACTATTTTCATTGCTGAAGTTTAAGTTTGTGTGCAAACAAATTGGTTGACTAAAATTCTGGTTTATGGTAGTGCTGAAACATTTTTAGAAACCTCATTACAATCCGTTTGATTATAATCGGAAAAGCTTGGCACTACGTTTACTTAGTGAATTTTACTTGGAGTGCTTCGCACACCAAGTGTTCGACTAATTGCTTGAATACAAACGTTTGAGTTGTTTTTCAATTTGGTTTATATTCCACAAGCATTGGAAATTGACCAACTTTGTGTGAACAAAATCTTATTGATTTGTGTTCAAACTATTGATTCAATTTCTCGTCTTTATCGGTATTCCATATAGGCGTAGCGTATATCCGGTCTTTTTGGTAACGGTTCGTTTAGATGATTGTAGTTCCTCGGCCGCTTCCGCTTAAAACTTTTAAAAACCAATTTATCTTAAGCGACGACTTTGTTTAGAATAAGTGATCTATTCAGCCCCATTTCTAAATCATTGTTGTTGTCTAACAAAAATCTTTTTTTTTTTTTTTTCAGATTATAAGTATGAATACTTAGGTATTCATGGGGTACGGACATAAAAGTTTGTGACTCTGCATATATAGGTTCGGGTACGAAGATTTGTTTATACAGCAGGTATGGGGATAGATACTATAGTACCCTACCCAATCCATTGTCATCCCTATCTATGTTGGGTGTTTATTTTTGTCTGTGTAGAATTGTTTTATTTCAAGCCATATAGATTAACTTAGTTTAAGAAAGAAAACAGACTAAAACATCAATCCAAATAAGTTCAGAAACCAAAAGAGAATGATCTGTCAATCTTTGGAAAAACACAGACGATATGCAAGATAGCAAATCTGAAATACAGTTTGGCATTTTACAGTACATTTTACATGGGACTGAGGAGTGACTGAAACACATGTCAACATATTAATTGAAGAGATATTATTAGATAAACATGTTTGATGCACAATGATTGTTATTAATTATTGTGTCACTGCTTTAAGAGACAATTTCGTGGAGTAACAGAGAAAATAGTGTGTTATCAGTGTAGTTGGCCTGTCAAGAGGCCTAGATTAAAGAGATTGGTTTCTTTCCCCTTGGCTTCATCATTCTCAACTTCATCTTCTGAAGAAACTAACCAATTGTAAGGGAGCTTGATTTTTGGCTCAAAGCTGTTGATTCTTTCATTTACGTTCTCAATGGAGAACAAAGGAGGTTGTGTTCCTGGTGTCCTTTCTACGCCCTTTTTGATTAGCACACGGAACCCCCATTTCTTCATAGTCACACCTCTGCCAGCTTTAAATGTGATTTTTGCTCCTGTTTTCACAAAATGGCAGTGTTCCCGAGAGATATAGATTACCCAAATATAAGTTGAGCTAGCCACCCTATTTCGTTCCAAGCTAAGCGGAATATCAAAGCATTCTTCTGTGTGTTCACTTTCAAAAGAAAGACAAAAAGGAATTGACAGTGGCAGAGAATTAAAACGGCGAGGTAAGTCAGCTACTCCATGGCGGATATCTACTTGAAATGCCACACAAAAGGAAAAGCCAGCCCAACCAACTTGCATATCAGAGTTATTTATCCTTATTACTGAACCTTCATCAAACTTGTGGTTGAACCACTGTGGAATCGAAGGGTTTCCATGTGAATCAACATATTTACGATGCCAAGGAAAAACGATGTCAAGGCCACATCGGAAATGCTGAGGCTCCTGGAATCAGAAGAAAAATCATGTAGGTATATCATGACCATAAAACACAAGACAACACAAGACACGCGCGCGCGCACGCAGTGTATTAGAGAAGAAATGACTGACAGACAAAATAAAGAGATAGGATGGTAGGCACCTTAAATAGTCTTTTTAGCCATTTAAATGGAATGCCTGGATCCTCACAAGAGAAAAACCATTTAGTTATCTTGTGACAGTCATAAAGATATAATCCAGACCTATGATCACGCGATCCAGATGTTGTTTTAAAATACCTTCCCAGTGAATCTGATTGGCCACTCTTGGATGGGAGCTTTGGCAATGTCTTAAGTTTGTGACAATGTGACAAGTTTAAATATGCTAGATTGGAAAGCCTCTTGAAGGTAGAAGGAAGTGTACTAAACTTATTTCCTTGTAAATTTAGTCTTTCTAAACCCTTTAAGTCTCCAATAGAATCTAGTACTACCGAAATATTGCAAAAGCTTAAGTCCAAGAAAATCAATGATTCCAGAGGAGAAGGAGAATTAAGGATGGTGCTTGGCAGGGGTAGAGTTGAAAATCTCCCGCAGCCAGATAGATCCAGAGACGTAAGAGAAGTCATAGTATAGAGGTGGCAATTAAATCCATTAAGGCAAAATCCATCCAATCCATCCATCAAAAAATCCATCCAATCCATCCACCACAAAAAAAATAAGTTAATGGATTGGATTAAATCCATCCATTTATATGCATGGATGGATTCAATCCATCCATTTATATGCATGGATTGATTCAATCCATCTAACATATTTTAAGGATCCAATGGATTATTTTTATTTTCGTTAGATTTATTTTTTTAAAATTAGATTTTTTTAAAAATAATTAAAAAATTATATTTTTTTTCTGAAAAAAAAATTTTAATTTTTTTTTTCAGAACAAAAAAATGATTTGTTTTTCGAAAAAAAAACCGACTTTTTTTTTTGGAAAAAAAATCAGTTTTTTTTTTCAGAATAAAAAACTGATTTGTTTTTCGAAAAAAAATAAATTTTTTTCTTGAAAAAAACAAAATTTCTCGAAAAAAAAGCCGACTTTTTTTTTGGAAAAAAATCGGTTTTTTTTTCAGAATAAAAAACTGATTTGTTTTTCAAAAAAAAAATAAAATTTTTTCTCGAAAAAAAACCGACTTTTTTTTTGGAAAAAAATCGTTTTTTTTTTCAGAATAAAAAACTGATTTGTTTTTCGAAAAAAAAATTTTCGAAAAAAAAAACCGACTTTTTTTTTCTGAAAAATCGTTTTTTTTTCAGAATAAAAAACTGATTTGTTTTTCGAAAAAAAAAATTTTTTTTTCTCGAAAAAAAAGCCGACTTTTTTTTTAGAAAAAAATCGGTTTTTTTTTTTCAGAATAAAAAACTAATTTGTTTTTGAAAAAAAATATTTATTTTTACGAAATTAAAAAAAAAGTTGGATGGATGGATATCCATCCATTAAAAATATGTTAATGGATGGATTGGATGGATTTTATTCTTAATGGATGGATCGGATTGGATAATTTTAATAAAATTTTAGTGGATTTTAATGGACTAATGGATTGTTTTAATCCATCCATTAGCAATCCAATCCATATCCATCCAATCCATCCATTTTGCCACCCCTATCATAGTATCAAAGATGTTAGGATTTGGAAACAACTTTGTGCAGTCTCTGAAACTTAAGAATCTAAGCTTTGTTAGAGCCCCAATAGATTTATGGATCTTAGATAAACTTTTACATTGATCCATATCAAGATACTCAAGATTTGATGCTCCTGTGAAATCTGGAGTTTTTTCCAATTGTACGCAACCAGAGAGACGCAGAACTCTGAGAGACCATACTCTTGATACACCGAAATCAAGGCTGGTCAGACGGGTGCAGTTCTGCAAACTCAAGAATACAAGTTCTGTAAGAAGTCCAACTGACGGATGCACCTGGGACAGGTTTATGCATCCTGTAAAATCTATTCGCTCAAGATTTGGGATCCCTTCAAATTTTGGAGTTACCATGAGATATTTGGAGTTGCTCAGATCCATCCTTTTCAAACAAGGTAGTCGCTGTGAAGGGAAAATTAGTGATCAACATGTTAGCATATTGTTTTTACATCTAAAATAGTTGTTTATTCGGAGGAGAGACTACCTGTTCGCCTTCCCACAATCGCTTGATGTTGCTGCCAGGCATATTCAATTCAACGAGGTCATGTAGCTGAATATTTGAAGGCAGAGAAGGGAAAGGATAACCATTCCACGAAAGATAACATAGAGAATTAGAAAGAAATACAGGATTCCCTGAAAAATTCTTTTGACACAATATGAGCAGTTTCAGGTGCCCGAATTTTGATAGATCTTCACCCCTCAACGGATTGAAATCGAAGCCATCCTCCTTTTGATCTAGAACTATGGCTTTCGTTTCTATTGGTGCTTTCTGAAAAGTTAACAATTAACATATAATATGAAATTGAATTAGTCTTGAAGCATTATAATGCTTGAATGTTTGCATTTTTTAAGAATGCAAAAGCTATAGAATCTATTTAGAAAGATACGTTACCGGTTCTGTCATGGCCACGCGATGGAAATCCCGGTAAAGCCACAATCTACTCCAGAACACTGGGTCGTAGGGATGTTGTCCCTGAACAATTTGCTTCCCCAACTCTTGCAACATTCCATGCATATGAATTTCCGTGTTTCTAATTGTTACGAGGGATTTTTCGACAATAAGTGGAATTCCAATATCAGGGTGCAATCCACAAGCATCTAGAACTCCCCTGACATAATCCACCTTGTCCCCTTTAAAGAAACAAGCAATATGCAGAAAAATTTCTTTCTCTCTTAGATCTAGTCCCTCAAAACTTATCTGAAGCACTTTCATTACTCTATTGCCCAATGGATTCTTCTGCAATCCATCCAAGGCAGCTCTCCACTGTGTAGCAGTTCGGGTACACAAGAAAGAACCAATTACTCTAATTGCTAATGGAAGACCTTCAGCATATTTTAGTACCTGAGGAATCAGCTCCGAAAAAGTACTGCTTGAATTATCACTTTTGAAGGCTTTTCTATGCATAAGGTTGAGAGCTTCACCATCGGTCATCAACTGAGCCTCGTAAACTTCATCTGCCCCATACTCTTTAAGAATATGCTCGTCTCTAGTGGTTATGATTATTCTACTTCCTCCGCAAAGCAATTTGGGATTTATATGCAATTCCTGTAATTGCTCAATTTGATCAATATCGTCAAGAACTACAAGGACCTTTATGTTGTTTAGTCTACTTCTTAAAATCCCGGATATTTCAGAACGACTGTAAGCTTTTAGATTCCTTTCTCTTAAAGTTTGACAAATAATTTGTTTCTGCACAGCAACACAACCGCCATCTCTATAAATTTTGCTAACGTTCTCAATAAAGCAAGAAGCTTGAAACTGATATGAGATTCGGTCATACAAGACCGTCGCAAGAGTTGTCTTTCCTATTCCACCCATCCCCCGGATTCCTAAAACGCGAAAACCACAATCTCCTGACCTTAACTTCAAAATCCTTTCTAAGGCTTCTACACGAGGTTGTATTCCAACAAGGTCATCCACAATACCCGAGAATTTATGACCCAGCGAATTTATTACATCTTGAACAATTTTTTCAATCTCTTCAAACTGAGGCCTGAAACACAACGAGATAGTTACTTGAAAGCCAACAATAATCTTGTTAAGAAAAAAAGTATAAACTTACTTGTTTCTGACATCCCAACCAGCAGATCCAGCCAAAGAGGTCATAGCATTCTTCCAGCAATGAACCTTGTTTCGGGATTGTTGTTGTGAGTGTAAAGCAAAGGCATCCTTATAAAAACCATTCTGTTTTCGTACATGAGATGGATCAACATCATAGAAAACAGGAAAAACAGTTTGTTTGGATTGGGTATGGCAATCAGCAATTGTAGCCATTTCATCCAAACACCATGTTGATGAAGCATAGTCTTTAGAGAAGATAATGATGGAAATTCGTGATTGTTGAATTGCGAGTTGAAGTTGAGTTGAAATAGAATGACCTTTGTTGAGTTGTGCATCATCTTTGAAAGTGAAAATACCTTTTCTGTTGAGATGAGCGTAGAGATGATCAACAAAGGTGTTGCGTGTGTCACAGCCTCTGAAACTGATAAACACATCGTATCTATAGCTTTGTTCAGCCATTGTTTGTATCTATATTTGATCTGTAAACTAGAACTTAATGACCATTAGCGCGTAAATTACATTCACCTAAAAACAAGTTTGTCAAACAAAATCAGATCTACATGATAAGTAAGATTTTAGGAAATTTAATTAAAATGAAGAAGATGAAGTTGACTAAAACACTTCAAATTTAATGGAAATGGTCTTCTTCTTTTACAGTATTTCATTTGTTCGATATTAAAATGACTATAATCTAGACTACAAGACTCAGTTAACCGAGTGAAGATTTATTTTCAAGAATTAAACGTATACTTATTTTCTAAAACAATTTTGTCTATTATATCATAATTTTTTAATACAGTTTAAAAAGTTATATATTTAATAAAAGATTAAAAAAACACTCAAACCATCTTTTAAACAAATATTAACAATAATATTCATCAAAAACATTCATTAACAACAAATCATAAACAACAAAAACGCTACAATAAACATATCAAAGTCATAAAATACTTCGGAAACATACCATACATATCCCATAAAGGTGTGTTGTCAATTAAATAAGAATGAAGATAAATTTAGACCTGCAAACGTGTGTATATTTTGAATGGATATTGAAGGTGAGAAAAAATATACAAAAAGAAAGGTTGAATTGTGTTTTTTGTTTTATTAATTTGTGTCTGATCATAGTTCAAAATCTAAACTAGTGTCTAGATTCTGGTTATACTTAACGAAATATTAACAGAAACAAATAAATAATAGAAGAAGACACAAAGATTTATATTAGTTTCTCTCAAATGAGAGTAGTCCAGTCTGCTTACTTCATAAGAGATTTTTACTATAATCAAATCATAATTACAATCGCTTTTGTATTTTGTATAAGACTTTTACAATACTCAGACCCTAACTCCAAGACTTCTTACTTAAATCCCTAAGGTTCAAGACTTCCTTCCTCAAGTCCTACATACTCAAGACTTCCTTGCTTAGATCCTCAGCCTAAGACTTTCCTGGTCATATCTCTTAGACCCGAGACTTTCTGCTCAAACCGCTCTGCCCCAAGACTTCTTGCTTAAACTCCTCAGGTTCAAGACTTCCTGCTCAGACCGCAGCCTAAGAGTTTCCTACTCAAACCCCTCAGGCCCAAGAGTTCCTGCTTAAACCCCTCAGGTTCAAGATTTCTGCTTATATCGCAACCTAATACTTTCTTTACTTAAATCCCACGAATTCAAGACTTTTGCTCAATCAATCCACTTGATTAAGTCTTTCATTGCTCTAACACATAGCAAGAGACTTACATGACTCAAACATCTTAGCGAGAGACTTAGTTGCTCAATCAATCCACTTCATTAAGACTTGCAATGCTCTAGCACATAGCT